AGGCATGATGAATCAATTAGATGTGCGAATAGAAGTTTTCTCATGTGCTCAACTTTTGAGGCATATTAGAATTCTGACCTGCCAAATAAGATCAAAGTTTTTTTAAATTAAGGTGTAAAACTACTGGTTATTTCAAGGTTGCAACTTTTTTTAATCTTAAATTCATGTTGCTGTTCTGGCTTCAGTGTTTCTTTTTTGTTCAACTTTGCTGGGAAACTGATTTCCTTTCTCTTTTAGACACAGTTATTGTTGTTATTTATTTAACTGGCAACTAACTATTTTTATAGGCAGAGTTATTTTTACCTTTACTAGAGCATTGTATGAAGCTTAATATGGCAGGCGTGATGAATCAATTAGATGTGCGAATGGAAGTTTTCTCATGTGCTCAACTATTGAGGCATATTAGAATTCTGACCTGCCAATTAACATCAAAATATATGCCTTTTGTCAATTAAGATATCAAAGTGCAGCTTATTTAGAGGTTGCAACTTCTTTGAACTTTGCTTTTTTTATTTCCTGATCATTAACTTGAAGATTCCAATTTTTTATTTGTGACATATTTATGTTTTGTGGCTTTACTCTTTTTAATCAGTTTTGCTTGGATTAGTCTTGTTTTCTTTTTTGTAATTCATTAATTTGATGTATTATTTACCTGGCTGCTGTTGTAGTCCTTTGTGTTATCCTTTGTTATAAGTATGGTTCTGGATGTCAATGAACCAGATCTCAGTTTTGTTAACTCAGAGCATGTTTAATAAGAAGCTTATTCTTGGTTTTACTTAGTATTTGTCAATCCGCTATAACTATTATGTAGATCATGTTTGTATATCAAATATGGATTTGGAGTTGCAACGGTTTTGTTCCCCGTCCAACATGATACTATTTACTAGTTGAATATACTTTCATATCCCACAGTTTGCATGCGCTGAATTTTACAGAGTACTTTTTCTATTTGCAGATGCTATGCAAGATTGCATCCGAGGGCTGTTAATTGCCGCAAGAAGAAGTGTGGTCATAGCAATCAGGTGGGTTTATTATATCTATAAGTGTATTTTAATATTCTTGTTAAAAGACTCGTGCAATCTTTTAACTATCATCCATCTTTGGGAGGTGAGCTTCTATGATCTTGTTGTAATTTCTGGTTAAAATCAGCCAACTTAGCCATCATTTATGAGTTAAGGTAATTCAATTTGTTTGTCATGTTCATATCAAATACAAGTCAAATATGTTATTTTTGGGATGCTTCTTGGATTTGGTCAGATGCTTTCTTAAAGTAATATGTTTTTTTGTGAATAATTATTATGGGTTTTTTTGAGAGAATTATATTTTTAGCGAGTGTTGTTTTTTATTTTTATTGTGTATGTCGAGATATCTGTGCCATGTCATATGGGACACATCCCACATCCATCTTTCATAGATTGTTAACATGGAATCATGCCATTATTTGTTATCATAGGTGTCCATGAGTAGTGCAAATATATTAAAAAAAAATATTGGTTTTTGATGGATTTCTTGTTATTTTTGCAGCTGAGGCCGAAGAAGAAGATTAAGTAAATTGTCGATGGATAGAACAACGTTGCTGCTGAGCCTGGATGTGTTAGGTGTCATCTTATTTCTCCATTGGCAATAGACTACATGTTCAAGTTTTTGTTGGTTGTTATGGACTAAGTTTTATCGTATACTTGTCATAATTTTGTGAACATTAGTAACAGGGATTCTTGTTATACATGTTTCCTGTCGTATAAGATGCGTTTTTTCGTTGCTAGTATGAATTTATTAGAACAACGGATGTGAATATCCCCACCGTGGCACGAAGAGCAATTCAGGACCATATAGTGTGCTAGACAGGGTCACATCTGAAGCTGGGGCTCGATAGCTGCTTCAGCAAGTTGTGTTATGGGCGCTTCCACGTCAACTATTTTTTGTTCATCGTTCTTGGCTTCTTCATGCAAAGCTTTAAACGTAAAACAAACAAATCATCCATCATTCTTTGGCTACAGTCAAACTAAAAACGTAAAATAAACAAATGTGCAGCTCCGCAAATGCCACGGTATCCTAGTGATTATTTAATTAACCAAAAGAACTCGAATCATATCGAGAGCGCTCGGCAGCAGCAACCGAATGGCCGACCACACCTTAACTTATATAGTAGCATCACAGTACAGCGTTGTTGAACGGACAACGTAGACGAAATTACTTAAAAAGAGAGTACTGCTTCTTCACTGTGTTAAGTGCACAATGAATCCAAGTTTCAGTATTATCTGTGTAGTGTAGTGTAGGTAGCCAACATATCAACAAAGCTAATTAATGGACATCACATGCACATAGTAGCAGCATTCGCTGTATCCAACAGACGATGGATGGATCATATTCACGTTCGCAAGCCACCAACCAAAGGATCAGTCATACCCATTAGCACTTAAACCCTCCACAGGCTCTCAACCAAATGATGAGTATGAGTGCAATGAGAGTGCCAGCCAAGATCAGTTTGAATCTGATATTCTGCAGCCACATCTTCCTCCGGAGTTGCCTGCCCTGCCTCTGGAAGCTGTCCGCCTGAAACATAAATAAATAAAAATAACAAAAAAGAGACTTTTGGCTCATCATTTCCAGAAAATTACAGCACTGTCAAATTTTCTATTCTTCTATCCAAACAAAAAAGTACCTGAAACTGCAAACTTTCAGTCTTGTCCACCAAGAGTTCAATTTTCTCTCCACGATCAAGAACCTATACGACATTGCAATTTATTTAGTTTTCACTTTCATTGCACATAGAAACATTAGAAAAAAAAATAAAACTATACAATACATCGATTATCATCACTATCATTTATATGGATATAGCCAGAAGATGGAAGAATTGCAATAGCTTGTTTTCAGGTCAAATTTGCATTTAGTCTAGAGATTTTCTGAACCATAGATAGAGATTGGAAAACATGATTGACTGTGAAGAAGCACTGAAGTGGGAGTCCAACACATTGCTACCTACTACACACAAAATGAGGGGATAAGAACAGGCAAACCGTTTAAATTACATGAACAAAGAGCTTCATTTTATATCTTTGCAGGTTAGTTAACATTCTGTAAATTATATTCTTTCAGATTCCATCCACTTACAAACATTTCATAGAGGATTCTTCAAACAATTAGAGCAGCAATGATGTTTTTAATGGCTTGTCAATAAACCAAGAAACAATTGAAACAAAATTCACATTCGGCATTGGCATCCTAGAGATAGGCAGTCTCCTTACAAAATCCCAAAACTTGATAATACTAATGAAACAAATTCAGTTTTGTAAAATTGGATAATTTGCTGTGATCAGATTCAGTGGACCCACACTGCCCCATCATGATTGTGGCACTGCTGAGACAATAAGTTGGAATGTGTACCCGAGTTCAGATAATAAATTTCATGGGAAGGCATTCTATGCCAAGCTTTACAAGCAACTAAAAGTGTTTAACACAGAATAGACAACTGAGCATTTGTATAAAATGGTTTTTCTTTTAATACAAAATGTTTACCACTTAAAAATAACTACAATGATTTGTTTAGTTAATTTATGAAGCTATCTTTTCCAATAGACCCTTTCATCCGGAAAACAAAACATTACCTTATGATGAATAAATTTGACTTCACAAATGATTTTATGGTATACTCTAGCTAGCAGGTATAGAGGGAGCCACTATTAAATCCTCCAAGCTAAGGTAAAGTAAAATATTTTCAGTGAACATCTATGACAGCTTGATCAAATAGAGGAGGATAAATAAATCCTGATTAGCAGCATAGCAGGAAGAATAGGGGACTTTAGGTTGCTCATAACTTGTGGAAGACGGATTTCTAGTTTACAAGGAAATATGAACAGATAATATTGAAAAAATAGCTTCAGGTATGTCACCAACAACTTACTTTACCTACAAGCACTGACTTAATTCTTAAAATGCAAAATTTAAATAAAATGCAATATATAAAAGTTCTTCATTGGCTATGCATGCACCATTGTTAAGCATAAAATTACTTTGTCAACTTTAACAAAACTGAGTCTCCTAGATAATAAAGCCATGATTCATCAAGGTCTTCAAGGATATAACAATCTTCACCAAGATGGATCGTACTCAAAATGTGCATTTAACTATTCATTTGCATAAACTAATAGGCCCTGAAATTATTATTAAGCATTTAAGATATCATGCCATTTGCTTGTACATAAAGTAGTATACATTGACCATATACTCGTACTCCTGCAATGGTAGGAGCCTCATGCACTAGCGTGCTCTTTTATATCTGAAATCCCTTCTCAACTAGTTTTGAAAAGCCTAACAAAGTCATCATGTTTCTTGTGGTTTACTTACGTTAACAAATTTTTTCTGGGTGTACTGAGTAGTCTCGTATTCTTGTATTGTGACACTAGCCAAATGTGGATCAGTGTTCAGGTGTAGTTTCAATAAACCAGAAGGTCCGGGTCTGATTTTATGCAAGCTTTCAATGTCTGAATGAAAATTCAACATAGAAATTCCATATAACAAAATTGTTGCAAAACCTCCTTGATATGAGACACAAGGGTTAAGGAGTTTCTTTTATCTTGTCAGTCAGCAAGTAAAAGCATGAAAGAATAATTATGCAGTTTGATATGAAGAATGCATCAAATGACATATACAGATCATCTATCAGCAAATAATTGTATAGAAGAATGGTATTGGAAACATTGTCTTTTGGGATCATCTGATCTGAATCTGCTCTGGGTGATTGCAAAACCGTGATTTTTCAAGCGCTTGTAATTCTGCTGTGGGACTACGAGTTCCTGACAAATTTCACTTTGGTTTACTTTCATAAAAATAAAAACAATATTGAAAGTCTTAAATTTTGATTTGCCTAATCTGGATTGGTCCCTTTTCTAAATTCTATAACCAATCTTAAACCTGTGAAGCTAGGAAAGCACCAGTAAGTGGAAAAAAAAAATCATATTTTTAATCCACAAAATTGAAGAAAGATTTTAAAGGATGCTCATCCAAAACAAACTTTTGAAAGCGACTAACTTCCTTAAGAGAAATTAAGGGGGGAATTTGGTTGCTTGAAACTGGAAATGCCTGAAAGTAGCAGTTGCAACCAGCAGTAAGCATTATAGAAATTGCAGGTGCAGCTATTTGGATGCCTACATGTATAACTGTTACTTACAGTTGTAACTAACATAGAGGCGACAATAATCTATGCTGAAAGAGGGAGGAAGAGGAAGAGATACCTACAACGTGTATGGAGGCAACACGTGTGACATGGGGGGATGGACTATCCAAATCACATATTGACTTGCAACGCAGCTTGCAAGTGCAACATGAAATATCTTAGATCAGATGTCCACTTGCTGAATGGTGGGTTTAATTGCACGCACACATGTTTCAAGTGACCACTTGCAGGCAAACAAAAGCTTGCTAGTGAGATACTCGTTGCAGACAACCAAATCTTCATAAGATAAGGAGAATAACCTGGTAAAGCCAAAATTTTGACAGGTGATGTCATGATGAAGCTTCTGGTAACGTCGTCCTGCTCCGTTTGGAGCATATTACACATTCAAGGGGATAAAGGTAACACATTTTAGTTGGAAGTGATGGAAACACTAAAGTAACACAGGGCTGGTAATAAGATGGTGAGTGTGCCTCACACCAGTACTAACTAAACATGCTCCCAGATGCCTATTCAACATATTCTTACCTCCACTCTAGCTCTAGCTAGCTAACCTTCAAAAATTCCATATCAGATACCTGTGATGTCCCAAAATTGTTATGGATATGGTACCTTCAATAGTTCCTGATTCATAAGGATAAGAAAAAGATGGGAAGTTTTGACACAAAGTAGCAGATCATGCCATTTTCACATAATCACAGAGTGTTAAGATAGACTGGTATCACATATAGTGCCCTTTTTAGCATAACAAAAGACGAGAATGTTCACTACCTAAAAAAAGGCAATTCGCGTAGGCACAACAATGCATCTGAGGATTTGCTGCTAAAATGAACATCAATCCACATACCTTCTCAATATTGTCCATCATTATTCCTTTGACCTCAGTAATTTGAGCTCTCAACTTGGAGAGCTTGCTCATTTCTTCTGGATGATTTATGCAATACTGCATGTGCTCCTTGAGCCTGGGGCTGCTCAAACAAATAAGCAATCAGTTACAAGCCATTTGAAGTCCTTTAAAATCTCAGGTGCGAAATTTTTCACATACCCAAATTCACGATCAAGATTGTAAGCAATGCTGAACCTATCTTCAAAAAGATCATCATCCTCATCCTCATCAGCAAGTGGGTGAGGACCTCCACCATCAATGATTGCTCCATAACGCTGCATGAAATCTTCCTTGACTCGCTCCAGAAACACAAATGGTACACTCCTCCCAACAGCTTCATCGGCTACCACAAGGAACACTACAAGGAAAGAGGTCAATCCGAAAAATTAGAAAATGCCATGGAACATACATGAAAACAAATTCACCAGATCAATAACCATACCAAACTCTTTATCAAGCAGAAAGTTGAATGTATGACCATCGCATGAGTAAGTAAATTTGTTGCTATTTCGAGGCAACTTCTGCAAGCACTGGACAGCAATAGTACTGAAATTCCCAGAAAATGTAGTGTGCTCGGCAAGCACCACAGCGCCTTTGGCCACAAAACTATATATCAACGGCTGCTTGCTCATGGCTCCAAAGCAAAATCCCCAATATAACCTACACCAGCGATTTCCTCAAAGCCCTTTACAACTGGTAAAAATCATAAGTATGGGCTCGATCAAATCAGCAAATCAAGAAATTCCACGCATAGATTCAAATGAATTAGAGATCAGCCGGAAAAGAATTCAACCCGATCAAACAAGAACTAAAATTGCCTCGGAGTACATTGATCAGCCTAAATTTGTGTTTTATATCAGAAGCCATCACAGAAAGTCGTGATCCATCATAGAAAAACCGCAAACTGGAAGAAAACATAGCGAATCGCACAGCGATGACCACGATCTCGCAAGAACTCCAAACTCTTCGGGAAACAAGAACTTGAAATTAGAAGACGGATTCTCGAAAACCATAAAAAAAAAAAACGCGTGTCGGATCGGAAGAACCGAAGAGATCTACCACAAACCCAAAGCAGATGAAGTAGAATCGCACCTCGGGAACCCTAATTTTTGTTGCTTCGGCTCAAAGTATTTCGTCTTCTCTTCCGATCGAGCGTCGCAATTAATGCTAGGGAGACGAGATGGGGACGGGCTGAAGCAAGAAATCTTGATGGTAAAGAACCCTCAAAGTCTATTATAATATCAATTTTACCATTTGTTTCTTTAAAATCTCGGGTAGGGGAAAAAGGGTACGCTGGTAATTTAAGCAGTCGTTTGTTGGTGACCGCATGGTGGGGTTGGAATGGTAGTTCAGTATTTACTTAAAATACCGCTTTTATCCTTCCAATTCTTTTATTCCTAACGTAATTGTGTACTGCTTCTTTTATTCTAATATCTCTTTCTGTATCTAATTTTAAATGCATTTTTTATTCAATAATCCTATTTTTTTTTCTTTCCCTAATCGGTTCATAGGATAAATGGATCCGTCGAATTAGATGATTATCGATTACGATTTTTTTATGCAACATTATAATACTTTTCTTAATATTATTAAAAAAATAAAATTCAGGACGAAAACATCAAAACTAATAATTGTGAAGAAACGGTAGTATCAGTCGCCATGGTTTCCTGTGACTCAAAAGCACTTGTAGAAACATATTGGGTTAGTCCGGGAGCCAAAACAATCCAATCTGAAGCCACCACAAAATTATAATAAGAAATAACAATTATTATTCATACTTAGTAATTACCACTAATTATTAATCCTCCAATAACCGAACATTCCTCATCTTATGCAACAAAAATTTCTGAAAACCTATATAGAGGGAAAGGATTAGAATGTGACTTCAACCAGATTTGTCACAGGTATTATTATTGTAAGCAAAGAGGCATCACATATCAAGGCTTAAATGGCATGTCTCATGTAAAAAGGATTTTGGCACTGGCATGTCAAAACCTTGTTTGGGTAACAATATGTTTGGAACATCAGAAACCATGCATCATGTTTCTAATGCACTAGCTTTCAGGTTCCAAAGAATCATCAGAATCACTTCTTTCGGGTTCACCTCCAGCACTCTTCACATGCACTTCATCTGGCTTTGGAGCAGCCACCGGAGCATTCTTTTTGCGCTGACCGCCTGCCTCCGGCACGACTGTTTCGACATGTAAACCTAGGTCAAGGAACAAACACAGAAATAATACACACACAATAACTTCTAATGCAGAGAAGGTCAGTATGCAACAAAGAAGAAACAATTTGAAGGAAACTAGAAACATCTTGATTGACATTACAGTTTAAAGACTATGATTAAGGACATTAAGCCGTAGGAATTGATTCTTATAGATGATTAGGAATGGATTTGTTGATGCTACTTTTAATAGAAAGAAACCCAATGGTAAGTTTGCAAAAGTGTGACAAGGATATTTTCTACTGTCCCACCAGACATAATGTTCAGTAGATCTTTCTCAACCCGTTGCACAACCTCCGGCTGTTCATGCAAAAAGATGTGGGAATAGATATAAGAAAAAGAGCAGAAAGAACGAAAACAAGGAAAAAGTAGTATACAGTCAAGACAACTACATTTAGATCAGGTTCCCTCCGGAATCGCCGTCTACGAGCATCTCTCATTGGAGGAGTAAGTCCATGCTTGTATTCAACCCCTTCAACAGCAGCATCGCCTTCGTCTCTTACCATGATCATCTGTTTACAACCTCTAAGTTGTGGTATTAATACCTCAACTTTGTCAAGAAATAAACGGTCTAGTTACCTGGCCGACATCAGCTGTTTTGATCAACACATTATCATCGTAGGTTTTATAGGATTCCACTATGCAGGGAAGATCCAAGAGGGAGGCAGGAAACCTCTCATCGCCTATCATAAATGTACCACTTCGTCCATCCTCTACATAAAATAAAAATAAAACTAATACTCCTAAAAGAAACAACAACTGATGAGATGAACTGAAGCACCACTATTATACAAGAACATGCAGCTTCGAACATAGTGCAAGGAAATCAGTCTGCCAAAGAGACAACATGTGCATAACTGTGTTGAAAGCTCAAAAATGAAACCAGGCTAAATTTATTATGTAACACGAAACTACAAATCTAATGGAATACTGAATCATTGATGATAAAATGCTACCTGGCAACAAGAAATGCTGAGTGGCTATTATGTGGCTAGCAATATGAAAAGAAATGGAATAATTTAAATATCAAATAGATCTTGAGCATACTCTCACTTGTAATGATCTTCCCCCCTCTACCTTGAAACAGTTTCTAGCCTCACTGTCTAGTTAATTCCACTTAACCTTATTATCTTTCATGCAAAATCTTCTGAAAGAAAATAAGTTACATCCCCTCAAGCTATTATAGTCCTCAATAGCTTATAAGTTTTACTGGTTGCGAAACTCTAAAAATTAATGTGTCAAAGCAAGTTATACAAGACAGAGCCTTTTGAAAATTAAGTGTGATCATAACATTCCTCGCCCTACTGTTCATCAGCTTTTGCATAAATAACCTCCCTATCCCAATCAACAATACCTTATTAACATGTCATGACTCTTAATTTGAAATCACACAAGTGCACTTCATTTAACAAGAAGATTCCTCCAAGTTGTAGAATACCAAAATTCATCTATGATAAATGGAGCCTCTAGCAGGTTTATCACAAGGATATTTTCAAGTAATCATACTTAAAAATTACCTGAAAAGGATACATCCAGTGAGCCATCTAAAGAAGAGGAGGCATTCTCATTCAAAAGGCGTTCAATTCGTTCTGCTACAGATGGGGGAACACGGAGAATAAATTGTTCTTCCATTTGACAGATGTTCCACTCAGCAGATAATTCCAGTTGTAACAGATCCAAACTGGAAGCAGGAAGACAATTCCTAAGACCAGAAACAGAAGAATGTCGTCAAGTTAAAATAACTGGACAGACAAATATTGAAATAAAAAAAATATTATATGTATCTCTAAGGACATTTATCTTTAGGAGTGACTCATAAGAAGTGGTGGCAGCAGTGATGGTTGTGCTACTTCTCGCTTTCAGCTAAAATTTTTCATTCAGTAGTGGCCAACAACCAAATGAAACACTCAAATGAATAAACCAGTATGTAAAGAAAGCTTCCCATATTCAAGTTCAAAAATGGTGCTAATCAAGCATAAAAAAGTTATTCTGTATTTAATCAAAATGAAACCAGAAATTTGGTTTATGCATATTGAAATTACTATTTCACAAAAAAGATCTAAAAAATATATGCAAATGAAGTAGGTAAAGCACCAAACAAATAAATAATGGATAGTGCATACTGCATACCACAAATAAAAGAATGCTTGAAGTTCATGTTCTACAACCATATGCTTCATAAGAAACCAATCCAACAAAACATAGCTGGATCATGTGTTTCAGGCCAAAAAACAGATTACAATTCTTTATCTTCTTGCCTGATGCCCTAATAATGTTCCCTCCATCTCTAACTAGGCCAATTCTCCTTGAAACTCCTTGAAAAAGGAATAGGGTCACTTGCGAGAATAGTCCAGTCCGATCTAATCATTCCGAATTGAGGTGCGATCTAGAACTCTCTTCTTCCTCTCATGCTCTCTTCTTTGTGTTCACCCACTTACACAATTGTCTATTTATATAATCCAACCCTTGTGCTCTTTTCGTTGTGTTCCTCTCATTAATTTCTCTTTTGTGAACGTCGAAGGTATCAAAGTCCACAATAAAGATAGTATAGCAGAAGAAAGATATCAATCGATCGTAGAGCAACAGGACAAGGAAAAAATTGAAGGAAAATGTGAAATCAAGAATTTGATGAGAAATCAAATTTTTAATTTCAGAAAGAACCACAAAAAGATCAACAGAAACAACATAAATAGCTCCAAGCTTAAACCTTTACATTCCTGAGACGAAAATTTATGGCTTTTCTAGAACTACCTCAAACCATCTCGTAGGGTTGCTAATTAAAGCAATCATAGCGAGCTCAAAGGACAAATCTTTACAAGCCAAAACATAATAATCCCTAAAAAAAGACACAAAAGCAAAACCATCGGTCGATCTACCTCAAATCTCTTGAATCTGAAGGCAGAAACACCCAAAGAGGAACGGAGGACTCAACGCTTTGATCTCTCCGAACTTTCGAACCCAACCGGCCGCCCACCAAATATCCCACTCACCACAGCCCTTCTCGCCGCCGCCTCCTCTCTCCCACAAGACAGAGCCAGACGCAGAAGACGACGGAATTCAAAGCCCCCTTAAATCCAATTGAGAGGAGGGGCGGAGGGAGAAGTGGAGCGTGGTGGGAATAGGAGCGGGACGGCGTTTGCCAGGATCACTTTTAAGGCAACATCAATGCCGCATCATTGAGGCTCGCCTTCGTTTACATCTTGAGCCCACGAAATACCATTTATATCCCTGCACATCATTGCAATCCCCAGACATACTCCTCGCTTTAATTACTGGTCAACATATGTGCATATATATAAGTAATTTCGATATAATTTACCGCTGTAAAAATAGAAATTTAGAGGGATAAAATCCCCAAAAAGTCTAATTTTGTTTATTTGTTGTAGGTAAAAAGGAGAGAGAGAGAGAGAGAGACAAAACAAAGCAAAAGTGTGGGGTTGCCTTTGTTTAGCACGTCGGGAAAATAAAAAGAACTCGTCTGATTCAGATAGGGGACCCACGTCGAGAGAGCCATTACGGCCAATCATAAGCCGGCGTACTTTCTCGGGTGCATCGCGCGCCGGTACGAAAACACCGGTCTTCGGATTTCCGGACTACCAACGCGGGTCGATTCGTACCCGCTCTTCAACTGGAGGCCTACGAGGGACCCGCACAAGATTGAGCATCGCGTCCAATCGAAACGAAGGGTGGAAGAGCGGAAGTGAGAAGATATTATGCCCGCTTCTTGATCGAAGATTGTGCGAGACCAATATTATTTATAACGAGGAATTCACCAACACAGGTATTTATTTTATTGATGGAGAATATTACACGTAGTACACAGGAGAGTACACGTAGTCCATACGAGACATTTTACGTAGGCGCTTACTTAGTCCCGATTAACGAAGAAGCATATTAGTTCACTGATACAGTTCCGTTCTTCATCGATGGCTCAATCCCCATTGACAAAGGACACACTGAGTCATTCACCAGAGGACTATATCCATTGATCGTGTCGAAGTATCTGCTCCATAGCATAACTCCCCCGTACTTGGGCGAACTCTTGACGAAGGGAAGAACGATGTTTATGAGGTCATCAGGTGTGACGTAGCCACTTCTAGCTGCCTCAGGAGAAGCAGGCAGTCCCAGGAACACCTTGCTTACGCTCGTGGAAGTCCACTGGTTCCATGCCTGAAGAAAGGTGCCAACGTTGTTGGGGGAGAACTCGCAGTAGTTGTCGTAGAACTGCACCCACACGTAGTCGAAGAGACCGGTGTCGATTGCAGCTTGAAGGTAATAGTCGGGCATGGGGCACTGTGGAGCCGCGCTCAGGTAAATTTTCCGCTCCGGCGTGCTGTAGGCGTTCAAGTAGCGAGCAAGGTCGTCCCAGTAGAATCTGCTCCCTCTCTCGATGTCGAAGTCTATGCCATCCAAGGCGGCGTTCCCGAGGGGCCGGTCGGGGGATTCGCCGGCCAAGTAAGTTTTCCAGATGTGGGTGGCGACGATCCTGGCATCCTTCTTGGACGCCAGGCGGTAGTTGCCGTAGGCACCGCCCAGGGAGAGCATCACCTTGACGTTGTAGTCCTGCTGGCATGAGATGATGTCGCTGCTCAGGAAAGTGCAGCCTCCGAAGGTGGGGTCACAGTGGCCGGCGAGGTTCAACCGTGGAATCTTGCCGTGGCCGAACTGGTTGAGGGAGGCTATGAGGACGTACTTGTAGTAGCCGGTGGCACAGGCTTCTCGTAAGCTTCCCTCGTAGGCGTCTTGGCCCCAGTAGACTGCATCGCATGGTTCGGCACGCAGTCTTCCGGCGAGTGCAAGTAGCAAGCACGCTGCTAGTAGCAGTGGCGGGGATGCTGGTGATCGGATCGCCATGTTGAACCAGGAGGCTGCTGCTCTACGGACGCAGCCTTATATCCAAAGGCAAGCTTGGGATAGTGTGTGATGGTGAAGGCGGCCACGAGGCTCCCTTATATATTAAATAGAGTGCGGGGAGGTGGGAACCACAACCAATCGTGTTCATCTTTTTTTGGGACCGCCTCTAATATATATATATATATATATATATATATACACACACACTCAAGTGAGGCATGAGTTGTGTTTTTAAATTATTTTGTTTTTCAAAGTGTTAATGTTTTTATTATTTTCAAATCGTACTCATATTTTGAATAATCATCAAAATATTTATTAAAACATTTTCATCATCATAATAAAAAGACTATAAAATATACTTTAAAATATTATAAATAATATAAATTTCAAGCTTAAAATTTTGATATTGTAATGATATATAAGTAATGACAAATAAAGAGATAAAATACGACGTCACATATAGTGTTGTTAAAAAATAATTTTATAATATTTTTAATACATCAAGAAAGATATTGCAAAGTTGTTAAAAAAATATCATAAATGGTCCTAATAAAATAAAAAAAATTACAAACTATTTGAGATTCAAATAAGTATTTATAATCGTTGAAGAAAGGAGTTGGAGAGGTGTGACCACAACCACATGAGTTGTAATTATTTGTTGCCTCAAATTTGCGTGGTGTTGATTTCTTCTGTATTAGATTTTGCAATGGGTGGAGGATTCGGAAGGCGTCGGCGCAAACAAGCTAAGCATCTCATGGTTCATGAGTTTGTATCTTATTCAATAAACAATTTAGGGAGGCCTAACTCTTGTGCTCATCTTTTTGGGACCATTTGTCGGTTGCCTCTAAAATATTTGGAACGTGAGGTGCATGCATGCATGGGTTGTATATTTTAATTTTTTTTCTAAGTGTTCATGGTTTTATTGTTTTCCAAATCGTACTCATATTTTGAATAATCATCAAAATATTTATTGTAATGTTTTCATCATCATAATAAAAATATTATAGATGATATAAATTTACTCGTAACCTTAATCAAATTAATTTTAAATCTAACAAATAATATGATGTCAATTATAGTATATTTTTATTATTTTTAGTACATTAATAAAATATTATAATACTATTTAAAAATCATAAATAAGCCTAATAAAATCAAATAAAAAATAGAAATTATTTGAATGTCATACTATAATTCAAATAAGTATTTAAAATAATTTAAAAACACTATAAATATTTTGAAATGGACTCCTAAGCTCAATCAAACTAATTTTAAGTCTAAAAATATTATAATGGTTTATGATAATGAAAGAGACATAATATGATATAACTACTATGATATAATATTATTAACCTTAATATAATATAACTATTATACTATAATATAATATTCCCTCAATAAAAAAATTTATATAATATCATTAAAAACTTCTATAAATATTCAAATAAAAATGCTTAAATTATCTCACATAACATATAATATATCAAATAAAAACACTAAAACACATCAGATCATTAATATGAAAAAAAAAAGAAATAAATAATAAAATATAAATTCAGATGAACATTGTTGAATCTCGAATTTTGATAATGAAATCAATTGATGAAGTTATGATCTAACGAGTGTTTGAGTGACATATGACTAACTTCTATCATGGAAAGACAAATAAATTGAAGTAGGAGAATCAAACGTTGGGTCGAAATGGATTATGTTGGAGATTGGACGTCGAGCTAGAGGATTGGTCGATGTGTTAGAAGATGGACTTCGTGTTGTGAGTTTGGACATTGGGCCAAAAGGATCGGAAATTGCACTAAGAAGATTAGATGTTGCGGGAGTTCAACATGTCGATAGATAGGGTAATACGCCGAAGGAAATGACGATACACCGAAGGTTCGGATGAAATGCTAGAGGAACCAATGATATGCCGAACAACATAAGATTCATATTTGTAATCGTTTGTGTTTTGATCGAAGTAGTTTAGATTTTAATCGAGTTAGTTTTAAGTGTAACTATGCCAAATTGATTATAAGCTTATTGGGTTGGAATAAGGGCTGAATTAAGCTTGTTGAAAGGCTAATTTAGTGACTTGAAGTTGGGCTAAGTGGTGGCACCGCCAGGCAAGGCGGTAGAATAGCCTGGAAAGTATGAAATGTACTTTTCTAGAAAACCTAATAGTGGTACCAGCCAGACTAGCGGTGATATGGTCAGAACTCAGTTTCTGAGATCGTGTCAAGTGATGATACTGCTTAGGTAGGTGGTGGTACCGCTAGTGCACAGGCTGTCAGGCGATGGTACCGCCCAATGTAAATGATGGTTCCGCTAATACCCCGAAAACTTAGGGATTTAAATTTTTAGCTCTATTTTTGAAGTCATTTGGGACTTATATATACCTCACTAATACTTGTTGGGTGCATGAAGAAAAAAGAATGAAAATATATGATTTGGAGTGTGTAAACTCTATAAAAAAGTTAAGTCCCCTACTGCTTGAGTGAGGTTATTCTAAGGGAGGTGTGTGAGTATTTCTTTATAAAAGAGGGTTATAAATGTTCTCTTTTGAGCTTGTGAAAAGGAGAAAGAGTTATAATTAAGATAGTTGATCTTCGTCCATTGGAAAAAAGATAGGCAGTGGAAGTCAATAATCTCGAGTGAAGATGAATCGAGAGTAGATATAGATTCCGACGATCGAACAACTATAAATCCCATGTGCATTCCTTTTATGCTTTTATTGATCTAATTGCACACTATTGTTACTCTCATTCCAAGTTAAATGTATTTTCGATACAGGTTTGATCGAACAAAATTTTTAAATCATTTTAACTTTTTAAAAGCACTAATTCATCTTATCTTAATTTTTTTTTATGATCCTAACAAATGATAATAATAAAATATATAAAAAATTCTTTAGTACAATGTCTCGTATAAATCATGCATGATTTTCACTCAATCTCATCCGCATGAGAAAAGACTCTTGATAAGTAGATTTTTTTGAAGCTCAGATTTTTTTCTCAAGCAACTGATCCTTCAAACACAAAACCTATTTTTAATAAAAAAAATTGTAAAAGATAATTGACAAGAGGAAGCTTGAAATGTTTGCCGAGACTCGATGGTGTTCTTTTGATGGTGACGACTCACATGTTCTTTGTGCAGCGTTAGTTTGATGGACTCCTCCGCAGTAGTAAGTCCAAAATCCAAAAGGACAAACAACGGAAGAATCAACAAGATTTTGGGGCTCTTTGAAGTGTCCCCAAAAGATTGGGAGGTAATCGGTCGTAGTTTTATTATTTTAATGCTATTCATTTTTGTCAGTGATCAATACATATATCGATTGGTGTCTTGTGAGAACACCGGAGAAGAGGACATATGTATGACGAGGACCTTCACCGACATGATCTTTATTATATTATGAGAAGAGGACATACGCATAGATTACATGATACGCAGTTAGCTTACATAGTTCCGGTTGACATGGATGGGAGACATACGATGAGACAGACACAGACCATATACGGATTACATACGCAACGCCATACCGTTTTCACACACGCAGTTCAGACCATCATGAAAGGCCTCACCAGCATAGACAAGATGGAGGACTGACGATCCCAGCACACACAATTCTTAACCTCAGAACTGTAGCCGTAGAGAACGTCGTCGTGGTATCAGCGGACACGCAGTCTTCCGGTGAGCGCAAGTAGCAGCGGCAACGCTGGTGATGTGTTTCAGGCCAAAAAGCAGATTGGAAAGCAGTAACCCAAAATTCTGAGAGAACCTGAAGCACCAGATGTGCATATCAGGAGCCAAAATAGCAAGAAGAAACATAGCCAGAAACCTGCTGATATGTACAAGAATTCTGTACATATAATACTGCGACATGTCTTAAGATCTATTACTGCCATAATCATTAGTAATGAAAATAAATGAGGATCTCACCGACATAGATGTTTATTTTATTGATGGAGAGAAATACTACACGTAGTACGTAGGAGACTTAGTACATAAGAGACATTATACGTAGTCACTTACCTAGTCCCCATTAACAAGGAAGCAGATTAGCTCACTGAGACGGTTCAAACCTTCATCAAAGGCTTAATCCGCATAGTCGAAGTAAAGGACACATCATTAGGACACACGTAGTCCTTCACCTGAGCACTATAGTTATTGAGCCCGTCATAGTATCTGCTCCATAGCATAATTCCTCCGTACTTGTCCGAGTCCTTGACGAGGGGAAGCACTATATTTATGAGGTCATCAGGTGTGACGTAGCCACTTCCGGCTGCGGCAGGAGAAGCAGGGAGTCCGAGGAACACCTTGCCTACGCTCGTGGAAGTCCACTGGTTCCATACCTGAACAAAGGTGTCAACGGTGCTGGGGGAGTACTGGCAGTAGTTGTTGTAGAACTGCACCCACAGGTAGTCGAAGAGACCGGTGTCGATCGCAGTTTGAAGGTAATAGTCGGGTTTGGGGCACTGTGGCGCCGCGCTCAGGTAAACTTTCTGCTCCGGCGTGCTGTAGGCGTTCAAGAAGCGAGCAAGGTCGTCCCAGTGGTCTTTGCTCCCTCCCTCGATGTCGAAGTCCACGCCATCCAAGACGGCGTCCCCGAGGGGCCGGTTGGGGGATGAGCCGCCCAAGAAATTGTCCCAGATGTAGGCGGCGACCTCCCGGGCATCCTCCTCGGACACCAGGCGGTAGCTGCCGATGCCACCGCCGAGGGAGAGCATCACCTTGACGTTGTACTCCTGCTGGCATGAGATGATGTCGTTGCTCAGGAAAGTGCAGCCGCCGGTGTTGGGGTCACAGTGGCCGGCGAGGTTCATCTGTGGCATCTGGCCGCCGCCGAACTGGTTGAGGAAGGCTATGAGGACGTACTTGTAGTAGCCGGTGGCACAGGCTTCTCGTAAGCCTCCCTCGTTGCCGTTTTGGCCCCAGTAGACTGCAATGCATGGTTCGGCACGCAGTCTTCCGGCGAGTGCAAGTAGCAAGCACGCTGCTAGTAGTAGCGGCGATGCTGGTGATCGGATCGCCATGTCGAACCAATGAGGCTGTTGCTCTACGTACACACAACCAAAAGAAGGCAAGCTTGGGATAGTGTGTGATGATGAAGGCGGCCACTAGGCTCCCTTTATACAGTGAAGAAAGAGAGTGGTGGTGGTGGAACCACAACCGGTCTTGTGTTTATCTTTTTGGGACCGTACATGGTTGCCTCAAAAATATATATAACGTGAGGCACAAGAAGTATTTTAATAGTCTTTTTTTTTTTTTCTTTCTTCTAAGTACTCATGTTTTTATTATTTTCAAATCGTACTCATATTTTGAATAATCATCAAAATATTTATTATAATATTTTCATCATCATAATAAAAAAATACTATAAAAATTTAATCAAACCAATTTTAAGTCTAAAAATTTAATATCTTAATAATATATGAGTAACGATAACCAAAAAAATAAAATATGATGTTACTTATTTTTTTAATAATTTTATAATATTTTTAGTTCATCAACAAAAATATTAGTGTTATTAAAAATATTGTAAATAATCCTAATAATAGAAAGTATTTGATATCATACTATGATTTAAATGGATATTTATAATAGTTTAAAATTAACATCACTCAAATAGGGATAAAAAATCGATATATTAAAGTGCTTTGATCATCACAATAAAAATACTGGAAAATATATCTAAAAATATTATAAATATTTCAGATGGATTATTGACCTCAATCAAACTCATTACAACCCTAAAAACAGTATCATACTGGTCTAGGAGCGATGACAATTGGAGAAACAAATTATCATGTCACTTATGGCATTTTCCAATAATTTTACAGTGTTTTCAATACCTCAATAAAAAATAATATTATTAAAAAAAATATTATTTAAATTAAAAATTTTCATTTTATATATTATTCAAATTAAAAAAAAATTGATGAAATAATAGCAATAGCCTAAAAATGTTATTACTATGCAAAAAAAATTACCATGGATTGATGAAGAATATTTTATATATTATTTTAAATTAAAAAAAATATTTTTATAAAAGAAAAAAATATCAAAACATAGTTATTTTTTATTAAAATAATTTTTGTATCATATAAATTATCGTTGAAGAAAGGAGTTGGGGAGGTGTGTGACCACAACCTCGCTCGTGTTTATCTTTGCCTCTGATTTATCTCGAACAAAGTGTTTAGGGAGTGGTGATCGCGTGCATGAGTTGCATTTATTTTTGCCTCAATTTTTACGTGGCATTAATTTCTTTTGTATTGGATTTTGCAAAGGGTGGAGGATTCTTTCGGAAGGCAATGAGCACAAACATCTAAGCATCTCATGTTTCACGTGTTTGTCGTTCTAATCGTTTGCGACGATCGGAGCCTTAATTGAGTAAAGAATTTGGGGAGGTGTAACTCTCGTGCTTATCTTTTTGGGATCGTAGCCCGTTGCCTCTAAAATATTTGGAACGTGAGGTGCATGCATGAGTTATATATTTATTTTTTTGGTTTTATTGTTTTCAAATCGTACTCATATTTTGAATAATCATCAAAATATTTATTATAATACGTTCATCATTATAATAAAAATAATTATAACAATCTACTTAAAAAAATTATAAAATGATATAAATGGACTCGTAATCTTACGAAAACCATGAGATATATAAAATATTTCTAAAATAATTAAAATGTTAATTTATAAAGACTTTTAATTTCTACAAGTAGATTTTTTTAATCTCAGATTTTTTTTTTCTCAAGGAACTAATCCTTTTTAATTAAAAATTCTAAAAGATAATTGACAAGAGGAAGCTTGAGATGTTTGCTGAGACTCGATGGTGTTCCTTTGATGGACTCTTCCGCAGTAGTAAGTCCAAAATTCAAAAGGACAAAGAACGGAAGATTCAAGAAGATTTTGGGGTGTTTGAGGTCTCCCAAAAAGATTGGCAGGCAATTGGTCGTAGTCTTATTATTTTAATGCTATTCATTTTTGTCAGTGATCAATACATATATCGATTGGTGTCTTATGAGAACACCGGAGAAGAGGACGTATGCATGATGAGGATCTTCACTGACACCATCTTTATTATATTATGAGAAGAGGACATATGCATAGATTACATGATACGCAGTTAGCTTACATAGTTCCGGTTGACATGGATGGGAGACATACGATGAGACAGACACAGACCATATACGGATTACATACGCAACGCCATACCGTTTTCACATACGCAGTTCAGACCATCATGGAAGGCCTCACCAGCATGGACAAGATGGAGGACAGACGATCCGAGCACACATAGTTCTTAACCTCGGAACTGTAGCCATAGAGAACGTCGTGGTATCTATTCCACAGCATAATTCCTCCGTACTTTTCTGACCTCTTCACGATGGGAAGAACTTGAGTAACGAGCTCGGCGGGCCTAACGAAGCCACCTCCAGCCGCCTGAGGAGAAGCAGGGAGTCCGAGGAACACCTTGCTTACGTTCATGGAGGTCCATCGGTTCCATATCTGTTCAAAGGTGGCCGCGTTGTCGGAGGAGTACTGGCAGTAGTTGTTGTAGAACTGCACCCACAGGTAGTCGAAGAGACCGGTGTCGATCGCAGGTTGAAGGAAATAGTCGGGCATGGGGCACTGTGGAGCCGCGCTCAGGTGAATTTTCCGCTCCGGCGTGCTGTAGGCCTTCAAGTAGCGAGCAAGGTCGTCCCAGTGGTCACTGCTCGCTCCCTCGATGTCGAAGTCTACGCCGTCCAACACGGCGTTCCCGAGGGGCCGGTTGGAGGAAGAGCCGCCCAAGAAACTGTTGTAGATGTATTGGGCAACCTCCCTGGCTTCCTCCTTGGACACCAGGCGGTAGTTGCCGATGGCGCCGCCCAGGGAGAGCATCACCTTGACGTTGTAATCCCTCTGGCACGAGACGATGTCGTTGCTGAGGAAAGTGCAGCCGTTGGTGTTGGGATCACAATGGCCGGCGAGGTTCAGCTGCGGCTCTTGGTTGCCGCCGAACTGGTTGAAGAAGGCTATGAGGACGTACTTGTAGTTGCCGGTGGCACAGGCTTCTCGTAAGCCTCCCTCGTAGCCGTTTTGGCCCCAGTAGACCGCGATGCATGGTTCGGCACGCAGTCTTCCGGTGAGTGCAAGTAGCAGGCACGCTGCTAGTAGCAGCGGCAACGCTGGTGATCGGATCGCCATGTAGAACCAGGAGCTTGGGGTGGTGTGTCATGAACAAGGAAGGCCATGGCACTCCCTTGTATACGTGCCGGGGGTGAGGCTGGCCCTCTGTTCCTGCACACACATTGCGCTTGGATAACTCTAGAAAGAGTAAAGATTGCAAGATATGGAATCAAGTTCGATATTAATCCTCCTTAGAACAATATCATATAGTCTACAAATAACTCCGATAAATCTGTGATCTTGATTTTTATGTAGGTTGATATTGAGTTTCTGAAACCTTCTCATTTGTACACATGGATTCTAATCAAATCAAACTAATCGCCAGAACAAATAGCAATAGATGACACCTCCAACAACACCAAAAGTGTTCTTGTATTTTCGTTTGTCAGGTTCTCTTTGGATTGCGAACTTTGTGGACGGTCCATAAAAAACCAGCAAGATTTATAATTTTTTTTTTATCATTATTTATTTTCATGATAATTTTTATTAATAAAAGTATTATTTATAAACTAATCAAATTTATTTTTATTTTCAAATTATCATTGATTAAAGAACTTGATAATGAATCGGAGTGACTTTATAGGGCTGTAGTCCGACTCATCTAACGATGATGAGACAAATCCATCGTACGTTCTCATGAACACCTACGCGATTCTAAGTGATCTACAAGTGCGACTCGATCGACACTCATCGAAGAACGGTGCTCATCTCCTATCGTGAAAAAGAGGTCTACAATAACGCTATACGGAGATAAAGAAACGACAGACACACTATGACGTGCATAGGTTTATATGGTCGTCTGTTCCGACACATGCCATGCGCTCGGAACGAAGTTGACGGTTGACGTTCGTCCACCATTGCAAATATTATACAGATAGATAGTTTGTGGAGCCCCACAAGATATGCCAAAGAAATGTAAGTCAAACAAAGCGTCAAGACATGGAATGCTCTTTGAGAACCGACGGAGTTTGCGGTGACACCTCAGAGATCCTTTGGGCAATGATCCGTTTGATCTTGGTAAAGCTTGTTGAGACTCGATGGTGTGGTTTTGATGGCGACTCGCGAGTCCCAAATCCAACTCTCGGGATGTGTGGTGCGAAGCCACTCGATTACATGATTTCTTTTTCTATTATTAGGTTATTATTATTTATTTCTATCTTTCTATTCTTTTGTGTTCTAAAAAAAGAAATCTCGCTGTTTTAACCCTCCCTCTATAGTATTATGAAGAAACAATCAATCAGTCAATCTTGATATGTTGAGACTCGATGGTGTTTTTGATGGACCAAACACAAGAACATTTGGTGCTGTTCGAGGTGTCCATGGAACATTGGGTTTAGATATATAATTGGAAATAGCTTCATGATTTTAATGCTATTTGTTATTGTCAATTTTATCATATTGCTTCGATGTTCTTCTATCACATTTTAGAGACCTCTCGTCGTCGTCGTCGTCGTCCGAGTTAAAGACGGGTCTGCAACACTAATAATTATTCCCTGTTGTCTGACATAAGTGTTTTGACGCTTTGTATGATTTGGGTGGGTGCTACTTACCACCATTGCTAATTTATCTATCGATCTACCACTGAGCGAAGGACTAATATCCATTTCTTTGTAGACTGTATATTATTTGCAATGGTGGACGAACGTGAACCGTCAACTTGATTCCACATCTTACCACCTTTGCTCTTTCTAGAGATATCCAAGCGCATTGTATGTGTAGGAATAGAGGACCAATTTGATCTGTGTGTTTCTATATAAGGGACTGCCATGGCCTTGTTCATGACACACCATCCCAAGCTTGCCTTGCCAACAGCCTCCTGGTTCACCATGGCGATCCGATCACCAGCGTTGTCGCTGCTACTAGCAGCGTGCCTGCTACTTGCACTCGCCGGAAGACTGCGTGCCGAACCATGCATTGCAGTCTACTGGGGCCAAAACGGCTTCGAGGGAGGCTTACGAGAAGCCTGTGCCACCGGCTACTACAAGTACGTCCTCATAGCCTTCCTCAACCAGTTCGGCAACGGCCGGATTCCACAGATGAACCTCGCCGGCCACTGTGACCCCAACAACGGCGGCTGCACTTTCCTGAGCAGCGACATCATCTCATGCCAGCAGGACTACAACGTCAAGGTGATGCTCTCCCTCGGCGGTGGCATCGGCAGCTACCGCCTGGCGTCCAAGGAGGATGCCAGGGAGGTCGCCCACTACATCTATAACAGTTTCTTGGGCGGCTCTTCCTCCAACCGGCCCCTCGGGAACGCCGTGTTGGACGGCGTAGACTTCGACATCGAGGGAGGGAGCAGAAACCACTGGGACGACCTTGCTCGCTACTTGAAGGCCTACAGCACGACGGAGCAGAAAGTTCACCTAAGCGCGGCTCCACAGTGCCCCATGCCCGACTATTTCCTTCAACCTGCGATCGACACCGGTCTCTTCT